TTTATTTTATGTTTATGGATCTGTTGACATGGAATTGCCAAGGGGCGAGTGGACGGGCAGTCCACCGTGCCCTAAAATTTTAATTGCAGACTTATAAGCCGAGCATCCTGGGTCTTTTTGAACCGAAAGTCTCCGGGGTTCAGGCCAATAATATCTGTTCGAAGCTCGGATTTTCAGACTGGATTCGCGTGGAAGCTGTGGGCTTCAGCGGGGGTATCTGGGTCTTCTGGAAGGAACCAATACATATCGATATTTTGTTTACTCATCCACAGTTCATTTTGTTACAGGTGACCCAGAGCGGGCATCCACCATGGGTGTTTGCGCCGGTATACGCGAGTCCGGCCCATCATCTGAGGCGCCGGCTTTGGAGAGATTTGTCCTAGTCAAAACGGGGCCCGCAGGGCCCTGGATGGTGGCTAGGGACTTTAATTCCGTTATCACGAGAGATGAAACAAGCAATTATGTCTCCTTTTCTGCCCAAAGAAGCTCGGACTTTGTAAACTGGATCAATGAAGAGGGTTTTGTTGACATGGGCTACTCGGGACCAAAATTAACCTGGGTCAAACATGAATCCACAGATGGGGCAAAGGGGGCCAGACTAGATCGGGCGATGTGTAATCTTGAATGGCGCGGCCGGTACCCAGAAGCTGTGGTGGAACACTTACCTTGTGTTGCCTCGGACCATGCGCCTCTATTAATTCGACTCTATGGGAGGCAGTGTTCTAATAGATTAAATTTCTTTCATTTTCAGGCTGCATGGATTACCCACCAGGACTTGCAACAGGTAGTCGGAAGAATCTGGAGCCCCGAAGAAAACTTGGCAGATAATATACGGCGGGTAGCGGACGGTCTCAGTAGTTGGAACATGGATGTGTTTGGAAATGTGTACACGCGTAAAAGAAGCTTACTATCCAGAATTGGTGGTATCCAAAAGATCCTGGCACGTCGATCACATAGTGGCTTGCGTAGACTCGAGAGGAACCTGCAAACACAACTAGAAGAAACCCTTTACTAGGAAGAGCTTATGTGGTACCAGCGGTCCAGAGAAGAATGGATAAAGTCGGGGGACAGAAACACAAAATTTTATCATGCTGTGGCCACAGTGCGAAAATCGCGTATCAAGATTTCGGGGCTGAAGGATGACAACGGGATGTGGATGCCGGAGGGTAATGAGTTGCGGGATCATGCCAGGACCTTCTTTTTAAATCTTTTCACCAAGCCCACCAACGGAGTAAACGTTTCAAGCATTGGCGACACCTTCCCACGCATTTGGCCAAACGACTTGGAGGGTGTTTAACAGAGAAGTTTCAAACGAGGAAGTTTACACAGCAGTTTTTGACATGAAACCATTCAAGGCTCCGGGCCCGGACGGCCTACCAGTGGGCTTTTATCAACATACGTGGGAAGTTACTGGGGATAGTATCTTCAAGCTAGTCAGGGACGCCCTTAGTACTGGCAGGCTCCCGGAAGGAATGAACGACACCCTAGTTGCGCTAATACCAAAAGTGCAGGTCCCTGAGACGGCCAAGCAGTTCAGGCCTATCAGTCTTTGTAACGTGAGCTACAAGATTCTAACAACGACAATTACAAATAGGTTGAAGAGGATTCTACCCCAAGTCGTAGGGCCATACCCAAGCTCCTTTGTACCAGGGCGCCAAATCTCGGACAATGTGATTGTGTACCAAGAAGTAATTCATACCATGCATGAGGCCCGGGGGAAAAAGGTCTATATGGCTATTAAATTGGACCTAGAGAAGGCCTATGACCGCCTGTCTTGGGCGTTTATTAAGGACACTCTGAAACGGGTAGGTTTTAATGATATTTGGATTAATGTTATAATGACTTGCATTTCTTCGTCCAGGTTGGCAATAATTTGGAACGGAGACCGATTGGAACAGTTCACACCAACGAGGGGTATTCGTCAAGGCGACGCAATGTCCCAGGCTATCTTTGTTTTGTGTATGGAACGGCTCAGCCACCTTATTGCGTCAAAGGTGAACAATAAGGTTTGGAACGGTATCAAATTGGCCCCATCGGGACCCATTTATCTCACCTCTGTTTTGCAGATGACATGGTCCTTTTTACCGAGGCGACATACGAGCAAGTGGAAGTGGTCCAGGATTGTTTAAAGTCTTTTTGTGAAGCTTCGGGGCAGAAAGTTAGTCTTACTAAATCACAAGTATTTTTTTCGAAAAATACTCCTCTCGGAGTTGCACAAGAAATAGCCGCAAAGTTGGGTATCGCAGAAACAAAAGATCTGGGGAGATATCTTGGTGTGCCTTCTGTGCATGGCCGGGTAACATGCAATACTTATGCAGGCCTTTTAGATCGGATTTCTGCCAGACTGGAAGGATGGAAAGCAAAGACTCTCTCGCTAGCCGGGCGTGTCACTTTGGCAAAATCGGTACTGAACGCCATCCCGATTTACATTATGCAAACGGCAGCCCTCCCTAAGGGTGTCTGCTCGGAGATTGAGAAAAGGACCAGGCGTTTCATATGGGGCCGCGATGAACAATCCGGGAGCAACAAGATGAGTCTGGTGGCCTGGGACACAATCACTACGGATAAAACATGTGGAGGCTTGGGCTTGAGGAAATTGCAGACCATGAATGAGGCTTGTATGATGAAGCTTTGCTGGAGGCTAAAAACGAAACTTAATGCGCTCTGGGCAAAAACGCTTATTATGAAATATCACCATAGCTCTAGCTCACACCTGGACACCACACGTAGAAGAAATACTTCCAACGCCTGGAAAGGGATAAGCGCGGGTAGAGAAACCTTAGAGAGTGGGCTCACGCATGTTGTTCGCAATGGGAAATCGACTCGTTTCTGGATGGACCCCTGGCTTACACCAAAACCTCTATATGAAAAGTTATGTGGCACCCTGAGCCTCCCAGATCTTTACGCGAACGTGGAAGATTACTGGGACAAGGTAAGAGGCTGGAAATGGGAGAAGTTACAGAGATCTCTTCCCACTAAAGAAATGGAGCGCCTCGCCGATTTCTGCCTAGCGGATGAGAACATTCCAGACGGGTGGGGCTGGAGTCCAGATCCTCGGGGGTATTTCTCGATTAAATCAGCGTATGGGTGGGCGGATACTTCTGTAAGACAGGAAGTTGACAATGTTTGGGGTCTTATTTGGGCGTTAAGAGTTCCGGCAAGAATCTCGATGTTTATCTGGCTGGTTATGCATGGGAGAATCTTAACAAATTATGAACGCACTAGGAGACACATCACTTCTAAAGAATGTTGTTATATTTGTGCAGGACAGCGAGAAGACTTGGATCACCTATTTAGACGCTGTGACGCCACGAACCGTATTTGGTAACAGTCTCTACAGCGACGAACGGAGGAGGCCATGCGCAACCTCGACTGGGAAAGCTGGCTTACGATGAACCTGCAGGGGGATTGTAAGCAAGGTTTTGGGGACGAATGGCCAGAGCGGTTTGGAGTCAGACTTTGGTGGCTGTGGAAATGGCGAAACGAGGCGGTTTTTAATGGAACCTTTTTGCCATTCGACCAGAAAGTGGACTGGCTACGGAGATGCGATGGTGAGATAGCTGCAGCTTTTAAAGGGAGAAGATGGCCGATGCCGAGGCATATTCGGGGAGACGAAGCCACTTTGACGTGGGATAAACCAGACGTGGGATAAACCAGACGAAGCCTCACGGAATATAATACAAGAATATTTAGTTATGGTTATATTATTATTGTGCTCACCGTCATTATATACTAAAAGAAAATTTATATTATTATTATTATTATTATTATTGTTATTATTATTATTATTATTATTATTATTATTATTATTATTATTATTATTATTATTATTATTATTATTACTATTATTATTATTATGTCATTATGTAATAATAAAATCGAATTACAATAATAATATTATTCATACAATAATAATTAAAACAAAATTATATACAAAATGAAATTAAAATTTAAAAACATAAACTAAAAAAAAAAAAAAAAAAAAAGAGAGACAAAGGGGAACCAGTCTTGGAAATGATGTTTGATCCCACATCAAAAATGTTTGGAAAGATAAGCTCTTGAGCTCCTCTATTTAAGAGGAACTAGGGGTGGGCACTTCGGTTCGGTTTATCCAAACCGAACCGAACTAAACCGAACTAGTAATAGAAAACTGAACGGTTCGTGATTTTGAAACCCGAATGGTTTAGTACCTAACCGAATGCTATATAATTTTTTTAATTAATAATAATAATAATAATAATAATAATAATAATAATAATAATAATAATAATAATAAAGAAGTAAATTCAAGTTCCTTGATGCTTGCTCCGCCGTTCAGTTCTCATTCTTACTGGTACCGAACCTTAAAATTTTTATTTGATTTCTTTATAGCTTGTTTTTTACATTGCATTTTTGTTGTTTGTCGCAATTGTTCTTTACCTCACAATTATATCTAACTTGAGTTATATTTACAATATTCAGTATTTTTCTTAGTTTCATGTTTTTCTATAAATTTAATGTGCTTTACAGTCATTCTAATTTTGATTTACAGTGCACTATAATTATTTTCTAGTACTGGAATATATTTCGAGTGCACTAGCAATGACAGATTGTGTCCAAAAATTAACTATATAGTAATTGACATTTGTTCTTTTAATATCAACTATACAGATAGATGATTATTCATCTTATCAATAAAAATATTCCAACTGAAGAGTCAGTTGTGCAAAAACGTTAACTGATGTTTGGTAATTAGTACTTAGTATTGTGTTTGAACTTTGGATTGCTATTTTGTTATATAATGTTTAGAGTTTGAATTTGGATTATGTGAATATGTATTGTTTGGTAGTATGTTCGAAAAATTAGGAAATGTTGAAATTTGGGGATCTTAAATCGAACCGAAACCGAACCTAAGCCGAACCGAACCTTAATGTTAAACCGAATGGTTTAACTTTTTTAAAACCGAAAAACCGAAACCAAAACCGAAACCGGAAAAAACCGAACCGAAACCCGAAACGCCCACCCCTAAGAGGAACAATGCTCCCCTTTCAAACATAATTGCTTGCCCATTAATATGGACACGTATTGAGAAGCCAAAAGATTCTTATTTAAGAAGTCTTAGTTTAATAACTTTTTATTTTAGTTTTTTTTTTTTTTAAGAAAAAACTTATTTATTAGGGGTGTTTGGGAAATATTAACTCAATGATGCAATAATCTATTAACTGAATGTATATAATATGTTAACCATATGTATATAAATTAAATGTTGTTTTATATTAGGGTCCATAATACAATGTAAATCCTGGTCCATGATATAATTTGACTTTACTTAGTTTGAGTGGATTGAAAAATTGACCAATGAAGTAAAATCCTCTTTCTAGCATTTTCCCGCCCAAACTCATTGTATTGGTCAACTTATTTAATTATGCTAAACTATGGAATAATTAATGATGGTAATAGAAATCCTAGAAGAATATAGAATACAAGAATATTTAATTATGGTTATATTATATTACTAGTAGTTGCACCCGTGCAGTGCACGACAATATGTATACATAATTATCAAAAAAAATAATTGGATAGTGAACTAAATGAAATTTTTTTTATACATTATTGAATACTTCTTTGTATACGACTTTTGTAGTCGTATTTTTAGATTTTACAGTTTCATCCCAAATAAGAATTTTTAATCCCTTAGGATTACTAACTCTTGACACTGCTACATACATTTGACCATGATTAAAAACCAGTCTCTTCAAAAACAAACCCACGTTGGATAGTGTCTGGCCTTGGCATTTATTTATTATCATTGCATATGACAACATTAGTGGAAATTGCTTCCTTTGGAACTTAAAAGGCAATCTTGCATCAGAAGGTGTTAAGGACATCATTGGAATTAAGACCTTTGTACCGGCACTTGCCCCGCATAGTATTTGAGCTTCTAAAACATGATCTGCCAACTTTGAAATGATCATTCTTGTACCATTGCACAACCCCAATGAATGATCAATATTCCTTAGAAGCATAACTGGTGAGCCAACTTTTAGAGTCAATGAGTGATTTGGAACTCCTGAACACCTTAAACCATTTAAAAATTTTGCAGTGTGCAGATCAGCAAGCATGTCAACATTTGAATCAGATTTACAAACCGAATCACAACTGAGATACGTCCTTCCTTCGGCATTATTATAGTCATTCATGTATTCATTTACTGCATCCACAATATCCAAAGTTGGTGCCAAAATAGCACGATCTTTTAGGTATTGAATATCACTCTAACCACTGCAGAACATAGGGAATATGCTATCAACAATTGTAGAAATTGGATCATCAACACAAATTAGCACAAATTCTTCAGGAATATTTATCTCACATTCTCCATGCAAACAATCACCAATTGTTCCATCACCTATATTAGCAATCCACTTTGCAAATTTTTCAATCTCTTTAACTTCAGTATCTGATTGCAATGACCTAAGCCTGAGATTCTTTGTTAGCCTAAATACTTTACAACTTCTCCAAAGATATGATGCATTTATACTTGCTCCAACAATATCTTGCCTGGTTCCCTTTGGAATGACTGGTAGAATCTGTCTGAAATCTCCACCTAACACCACGGTTTTCCCACCAAAAGTCATATCCAAGCATTTTGGATTTTTAGCACGCATGATATCTCTCATAGTACGGTCTAAAGCTTCAAAGCAAAACTTATGCATCATCGGTGCCTCATCCCAAATGATCAACTTACTTTGCATTATCAACTGTGCCAAAGGACTACTTTGACTGATGTTGCAGGTTGAATCTTCATTAACAGCTATTGGTATTGAAAATCTTAAATGCGCAGTTCTACCTCCTGGTAGTAGAAGAGATGCTATGCCACTTGATGCCACGTTTAAAACTATATCACCCTTTGACCTTAAAGCAGAAGACAATGCTCTCCATAAGAATGTTTTTCCCGTTCCACCGTATCCATAAACAAAAAACAGGCCTCCCAGATTATTCTCAGCATCTTGCAATACTTCTCCATATATAGCCCTTTGTTCTTCGGTGAGTTGATGCACCAATTTATCATTCTATTCCATCATGACATTAATATCATATGCTAATTCCTCTTGTATCAACCGATTGGTGGTTCTAGCATGATTCTCTAAATCCGGTACTGGCATCAACGGAAAGTCTTTCAAACTCTTTCCCATAGCAGAAAACATTATTTGTATCTCATGAAGTGCAAAATTATTTTTCTCATCTTCAGATAAAATCAAATCTGTGATAGTATTATCAATCGCATATTATAACTATGGACATAGAACATGGATAACAGTCGGTTGACAACATTACACTGGATAACAGTTTTACCCTCATCCATGCATTTCCTTTTGTTGCAGATTGTGTTACCTAATTAATTTATAGTTTACTTTTTTTAGCTGGCATAAAAAAAACATTTATTAAGCAACAAAAATGATATAAAGAATACTTACCATTGGATATATCCTGTAGAGGTGGTCGTTTGTTCTCAGACATTGTGAAGGTACCTTTTATATAACATATTTAACATTTTTAATGATAGATTGTATATAATATGTAACTGGAATAAAAACAATTAAGTAATTGGCCATTAACTAAAAACCAACCGTTAAGTATATCGCTTGTTGCACTTGAAGGTAATGGCTTTCGTCCTCCTAACACAAAATGCCTTGATTTACTGTTGCTGGTTGTATATTCCATGCTTCGCGTACTAATTTGTATATCCAAAGATTCTTTATTAACTGAAAAGACATAACATGTTTGTAATATGTTATAACCTGTTAAATAAAATTTTACAAACTTTAAATAGATTACCTGTTGTAAGATCACTTTTTGGTCTATCATTTGAATTACAATATGGTTGTGGTGTGTATTCCATTTGTGGATCATTAGTATTCTCTTCTCGAATGGTATCGTTGTTCTCTACATTCTATGCAATGACAAAAAAAAAATATTGTCAAAAACCATACATGAATTAAGATCTGTATTAAAATTACAATGGTACACACAGTACCGTGTAACCTAAATATAATATATGCAATATCGAAACGCTAACATAGTTAATAACGTTTTTGTGAATAATGTACATTTTGTATTAATTAAAACTGTTTCTGACATTCACGGTCGACAATCTTGCGTGGATCATGACAAACACAGTACTAAAAAATGCCACATAGTACAGTGCAAGAAATAATGCAATGTAAAAATGGTAACATATTTAAAGACTATTAGAAGCTATGTATTATAAGAAATAATGCATTACTTTAAATCGTGAATACATTAACCATGGTCTACACAGTATCGTGTAACATAATTAAAAATCAAATAAAAAATGGTAAATGCAACTAATGTACATTTCTTACAAAAATAATGTACCTTAAATACACAAATAATTAAAACAATTAATATGAATTCATCAGCACCTATGTTTAAAATTACTTAATTATTGTTTAAGTATGGGCTGCCAACAACCCCAACATGTATAATTAAACATTGATGTAATCTAGCCCAAGATCTTTTTATTTTAATGCAAAGCCCAACCTACAAATATATAACATAGCCCATACCCGACCCACTGATCAAACTCTTCACTATACGGATGTCATCCTCACCCCCAGCATCTGGCCACCCAACTCTCAGCTAGCATTCTCTCTAACACTATCCTAATCTCCTCTCTAACATTATCCATATCCGAAGTCAGACTTCCTAATCTCACAACACACTCTTGAGCTTTGTACAAATTTAGCCAAGATTAGAATATGTCTGTAAGGTCTTCATGACCTTTAACATCCGATGAGACTGGATTTTCAAAACCCTAGCTTCGTTTGAATTTATAACAGCTGATTTTCGTTTTCAGTAGAAGATCGTGGGTTTGAGTGCCCGATCTTCGTTTGTTAATCGAAGATCTTTCTTTGTAGTGGCCGATTTCGTTTTTACTCGAAGATCTCGATTTTGAGTGCCCGATCTTCGTTTGTTACTCGAAGATCGTTATTGGATCTCGATAATGGTAAATAGACTTCCGATTTGTGGTAGGAATAGCTATACATTTATGAAGCAGAAGAGGATGTGTGCAGTGAAATAAAACCACAAAAAGGTAAACTAAAAATTAAAGTGTTTATAGTGTAGACTATACCTTGGTTGTTCATTATCTGCTTCCTTTTGCTCCCTATTAGTGTAGAAGAAACAATTTTCCTCATGTGGTATGTTGTTTTGAATGTTGCAATTATGATATCTGTTTGTAGTTGGAGTATGCATATTTGCTATATCTTGAATGCTTTATTGGGTGACCATCATTAATGTTTTGACATATACTAAAATGATTATGATTGTTCAGTTTTTTTTTTTTTTGGAAAACCACAATGCAGTATACTATTCCTGTAATTGAATACACATGTTCCCCCTTATATTTTTGCACTTCTTCATTTTACACATGTACTAACACTGTTTTAAAGTCTTTGGCAAATGATGAATCTTTAAATCTGATGCCATTGTTGTACACTACAGTTTAATACATGTTAGATGATGGCCTGCTAACTGTGATGGTAATTATTACTCAATGTAGAATTATCTATAAAGAGATAGTATATTTGATCACTTACTAAATGAGAAATACATATTTTTCAGATTTTAATATAGGACTATATACTTATACTCTGATGAATTCTATTATTTTGTTTAGAATTTGATCAGTTTGACCAAGTATATATTAAATCAGTTTGACCAAGTCTAGATTTAAATGAAAGTAATGTTGATTTAAAGGTCTATAATGTAGGACCGTGTATAAATGGCTAAACTATTTGATTCCTTTGAAGTTTAGTTTTTGAATAACATAATTTGTGTGTTTGATTGATTATCTGTGAAGTGTTACATTTTGACTATTGTTAGATGTTATTATTTTTTGGTAGTTTGGTAATGAAAATCTTTTAAATGTGTGATTTTTAAAGTAAAATAGCATTGTGTATACAGTTTAAATATTGACAAACGGCTATATTTAAATCAGTTTAAAAAATTGTGTTCGTTCTTGAGTCTTTGACAAATGATGAATCTTTGTTTCTGATGCACATATTGAATAACTAAAATAGATTTTTAATACATGGAATCTTTATTTGTTTTGACATTTTTTTTTTTTTTTGCACAAAGATTGAATACATGTTACACGATGATCTGTGGCAGTGCTGCCAGATTCTTAGATATCACAGCTTCTTAGTCTTCACATTACAAATTAGTAGATTATATATTATGTAGTATGGGATCAGTAATTACTCTTCAAAGTACACAATAGTTGTTAGTTTTGTAAATTGTAGTTGTTGAAATGTTTCTATTTTAGATGTGTTGACATCAAAAACAGTCCTCTAATGTGTATTTTTTTTTTTATACAAAAATTGACATGATGATATAGTTTGCCAATTTGAAAATACCAGTGTGATCTTGTAATGTACTAAACATCAGTGTGAGTTTTTACTGGTAATTTGAAGGCTCTAACGTGTATCATATTTTTTGTACAATTCTTGAAAGTTTCTTGAATACATTGATTTTTTTTTAAAATTTTTTGAAGTAATGTATTCTATTTAGTAAGGTTTTTAATTTAGTTACGACAATCATAATTAGATTGGATTTTCAGCAAGCTATACTATATATATATATATATTTTTTTTTTAATTCACCAAGTCAATTTTAATTTTTAAGTAATGTTCATTTAAAAGTCTAGAATATAGGACTATCTACTTGTGAGTATTAATCTTATTATCTGTGTTTATAAGTGTATAACCTAGGATTAGTTTTCTATGGTTAGAATGAGTCTACTGTCTGTATCCTATTAGATAGGAGTAGTTAGAGGTAGACTGAGATATACTCTCCTGTAATTCTATCGTTGGTTAATTGGAATTGATTTTGAATTCTCATATGGTATCAGCCTAAACACGATCCTCCACCACAAAAACGCTACCCCCTACCCATGTCGTCGAACTCCACCGATCGCACTCCATCTGCCGCCGGCGGTTCATCTCCGGCGAACCCGAACCCCCTCGCCGGAGCACACCACTTTATATCATGAAATTAACCTCTAGGAATTTTCTGTTTTGGAGAACCCAGGTAATACCCTTTCTTAGAGGCCAGGATTTGATCGGCTTTGTGGATGGAACCACCCCATGCCCGGCAGCCACTCTCACCACGGTCTCCGGCAATTCCGGTACCAGCACAACCACTACGGCGACAGCCCCGAACCCAGCGTATAAAACATGGATACTCCAGGATCAGTCGATCCTTTCTCTATTAATATCCTCGATGTCAGATGAGGTATTGCATCTCGCGGTTGGCCAGAATACCGCCGCCGACGTTTGGAAATCAATCTGCACCGCTCTCGGCTCCAACACGCAGGCTCGTTGTCTGAGTTTGCTGGGCCAATTCCAGGCGCTCCGGCAAGGAAACTCCACGCCGGGCGATTACCTTGGACGGGCGGAGCTCCTGGTAGAGGCACTCGCGCAAGCTGGACAGCCTCTCTCCATGGCCGAACATAACCTTTATGTTCTGAGAGGCCTGAGGCTGGAGTACCGTGCATACGCTACGTCTCTCACCGCTCATGCGCCGGTGTCGCTCCCGAATCTCACTGATCATCTGCAGGCCGCCGATTTCATATTGGCGGATGACTTTCCGGACGCTGGCAGTGGTTCGCCGTCGGCGCTCTATACAGGCCGAGGCAGTGGTGGCTGACACTCCCAGTCCAGCAATAATCAAAACAGCGGTGATGGTGGCCGGCAGTCCCATTGGCGTGGCGGAAGAGGTGGCAGAAATCATCGGGGTGGCCGAAATCAGCGTGGTGTACCACGTTGTCAAATTTGTAGATCGCAAGGACATATCGCGGTCTATTGTTATAAACGGTACACGACGCAGCCACCCGCGCAAGCCCATGTTGTAGTGTCCGGCGAGTCCCCGGGCACATCCGTACCACCGGCCGACGCGTGGTATCCTGACACGGGTGCCACGGCTCATGCCACTCCCGATGCCGGCATGATAACATCCGCGGAGGAGTATAATGGCCCGGATACGCTCCGGGTGGGAAACGGTACAAGTTTAGTAATCTCACGGGTTGGCCATGCATCAATCCCATCTTTGTCAAAACAATTGTTTCTATCTGATGTATTACATGTCCCGAAATTAACTGTTCCCCTATTGTCAGTTCAAAAATTCGCTAAAGAAAATAGTGTGTTTTTTGAATTTCATGACAGTTGTTTCATTGTGAAGGATTCCAAAACCAAGGCGGCGCTTCTTAAAGGCCCAACTTCTGGAGGTCTGTACAAGCTACCTGTGTCCTGGAGTAATTTTGCGTTCGTCAGTTCCCGGGCAACACCCACAATCTGGCATCGCAGACTCGGTCATCCACATAGTCTAGTGCAGAATAAAATTCTTCAGCATTGTTCAGTTACTCAAAATAAAACTAGTTTCGAGTCATGTACGGCTTGTCACCTCGGCAAGTCCTCTCGGTTTCAATTAGATAGGAT